TCCGAAGAATAGGCCAAGTTGGTTACTTAGATGTCATCCCAACACCATTGTCCAAAATCCCATCTTTGGGTTTGTTTTCCTGGACAAGGATGAGATTCTAAGGTTCTTTGATCCGACAGAGGCGAACAAGTATTCGACAGAGACTCTTGAGTGGGTGTTCAACCTAGTAGCAGCAGAGGTGAACAAAGGGCATCTAAGGGCGGACAAAGTGTCTGGTATTCTGGAAGCAATTAAAGTTCAAGTCTCCTTCAGAGAGTGGATATTCAAGGTCTACAGAACCATCAAGTCAGATCTGCAATTTGCCGTAGATGACTATCCAGACTCTGCGGTGGACTAATCTTCTGTAATAGTATAGGCATGAGCAACAATTTTTCAATTAATTTTTTTATGTAATTCTTTTCAGAGGATGAGTTTAATCTCCTCTTGTAATTCTTTCAATTAGTCATTTCTTGCATTCTTCTGTCCATTTTTACTTTTTCATACTTAGGGGGAGATTGTTAGCTCTAATATTTACTTCATGTAAAAGTATGAAAAAGTATTCTGCAAGTGTTGACAGAAGGGAATCTTCCACAGAAGGCATCAGAGGACTAGCAACAAAAGCTGTTTCATCGTGCAAGTAAAGTTTAACAGAACCTCTGATGTCTCTCACAGAGGTTCTAGAAAATGGTCCTCTGGCAATAAGATAATGCAAGTCTACTACAGCAGAGCCTCTGAGATGGCTCATAGAGGGTCTGCGGATTAGTCTTCTGTGAAGATCCTGTTCTGCTATTTTTCAAAGGTTGTTAGCTACAAGTGCTTCTCATGTGACTAGATTTTAATAGACTTTATTTGGACGGTTTAGATGATTTCACATTATAGATCATGTCAGAAAAGTTGTTAGGGTCTAGTATAAATAGCAGCTTAGGCCTTTGTATTCAGTGTGCTTCCATATTGTAATCGTCTATATTTTTCAATCAATTGAAAAACCTTTGAAGCTATTCTATTGTGTTCATCTTCTTCATATTAATCTGTGTGTTCTTGGTTAATTACTCTGTTTTGTTCTTATCATTGTTTCTGATGCACTGTAATCGTCCTAGAGATCATTCAGAGTAAGAGTTCAAATACCAAAGCTGAATTTACAGGTCCTAACAGGAACAAGGACGCAACGATGCTGATCAATAAACTATCAAATAGACGTGACGTTGTACCAGGATATTTCTTCGAATACAAGTGTAATGAACATGAGTTAATCGCAAGTTTTTGGCCAGATGAAGTTGCTAGGATTAACTACAAAGAATTTGGTGATGTCATATCATTTGACGGGATGTTTCGTACGAACAAGTAATATTCACAGTGCCATAGAGTTTTTAAAGATTTTTACACGTTTCTATTTTTATGGAATAATGACGTGGGAAGAAATAGGTACAACTAATTCATTGATTTGTGTTGCAGGCATGCCATGATTTTCGTTCCTTTTTTGGCCGTTGACAATCACAAGGCTTCCATTGTCGTCGGGTCCGCTCTAATCAGTGGCAAGACAATCAAGAACTTTACATGGGTTTTAAAGGCTTTCATAAAATGTCATGAGAAGCAACCAGTTTCCATCATTACAAACCAATGTTCTGCAATGAAGCAAGCTATCCCGATGGTGTTTACGGAAGCCAAACACAGACTCTGTATGTGGCACATTATGAAGAAAGTGCCTTCAAAGGTAAGTTGTATGTACGTAATGCTATGTATTTTTAAATGATGTTTATGTTTAATTTGATTCATTAGTGGTTGCCATATACACGCAGGTCAATGTCGCACTAAATCAAGATCCTAATTTTAATAAAGTAATCAACAAGCTCGTATGGAACATACATATTGGACCAGCGGAGTTTAAGCGTCGTTGGCATGAGATGATCGAACAATACAACCTGGGGGTTGATACTTGGTTCACAGATATGTATGCAATTCGACACTCGTGGATTCCTGCCTTTTACAAGGACACTCCAATGTCTGGTCTAATGAAAACAACCTCAAGATCCAAGAGTTCGAATTCGTATATTAATATATACGAATCGTACTGGTTTGATTTGGTTCAATTCCTTAATAATTACGACGTAGCTATAGAGAAGCAAAGATACAGACAATCTGTTCATGAGACAGTAACGAGAACCACTAATCCTAAATTTGTTACTCTGCTGCGTTTAGAAAGTTATGCATCAAGAATATACAGTCAGAATGTGTTTTTTGACATAAAAAAGAGATAAAGAAGGCTGTATGGTGCTGTGCTATAAAGAATGTCGAATGCCGGGATGTGTTAAAGACATTCGTGATAAGCCATAAGACAAAGAAATCATCTGAGAACATCACATATCTGGTATCATATCCCTAATCCGAACAACAATTTATTTTATGTTTATGAAGTTTTTGTTTGATTGTGGTTGTTTGCAAACATTTGTAAGCTAGGTGAATCGAAATTACTCAACAGATACCGTCGAATGCGAGTGCAACCTATTCACGCGTAATGGTTATCTTTGTCGTCACGCGTTCAAGGTATTGATAAACGATGAAGTTGAATTCATACCGGATAGATATGTGTTACGGCGATGGAAACGACAGTTAGTTCCAGTACAAATACAATCTGCAAGGGTTCGCTACGGCGAGGTTGATGCCGAAAAAGAAAAGTGCATTATTGATGTATATTCGAAGGTTGACGAGATCATAAGCAACGCCCGGAATGATAAGTCTATATTGGCTAAACTGGAGAGAAATCTCGACACATTTATGGTTGATATAGAGAAGGAAGTTCCATATGAAGACCCATCTCAACAGAGGATGGATGCAATTAGGGAGCATCTAGGTGTTTCAATACCGGATGAGGTGGATATTCTACCACCTTCTGGCATCAGGAACAAGGGATGCGGTACTGGTAAAAGACTGGTAAGTGTATCTGAAAAAATAAGACTAATAGCAAAAAATCAAAACGAAGATGTGCAACATGTGGACAACGTAGTGGACATGACTCACGTAATTGCCCAGAATTGGTAGGTTAGTTACATTCAAGTAGTTAGGAGTGTTATCGTTTCGTTATAATTTGCTGACGTATTGTTCGTTCGACATTTTTGGCGTATGTTTTTTGATACGATTATCATCTTCTTGTCACAAACATTATCTTGTTAGGAACTTAAATATTTTTTATGGTCCTTAGCTTATTATTAGAGTTGGTTAAACATATGAGAATTGAATTATAATATTTATTGTATATAGTAGTTGATGTTGTTGATAGTGCCTTCATTTTCATGTAGAAAGTAGCCTATGTTCATTGTATCATGCATGATGCAGGAATCTCTAGATTTGGATCAGTTAACAAACAACATCCTCATTTGAATGTTGCAAAAAGCTATGATCTAGATGCCATATGATCTATAAATGGAAATTCCACTTGAGGGAGAATTTTGTATCATGGCCTAATTATATATTATCACAACATCTATCCATTGCGACAACAAACAATCAATGCTCTATTTCGTAGCATAAATACTAGGCTGTGAATTATTAAGGTTAGGCATTACATATTGGTCTATCATAGATATGTGAATTATTTTAAGAACTAATGCATTATGTATGCGATCAAGTTGGAATAGTACCTGGAAGTTATAAAGTTTTTCTTTAGTCAATTTCGTATTCAACGTGGAGACCCGTACAACAATGTTGTGCTACTGCAGTTCCACTGCAACTTCATCATGCAATTTCATGGACTTGACGCCAGGATCCCGATAATTGTTTGATGCATGAATTATTGAAAATTAAGCTGTTAACCCAGATCTGACAGTAGAACAATTTAATAAGGAAATTCAAGAGAGATTTGTAATAGAAGAAGATGAAATAGAAATCGACG